TGATGAGTGGTGTATGATGAGTGGTGTATGATGAGTGGTGTATGATGAGTGGTGTATGATGAGTGGTGTATGATGAGTGGTGTATGATGAGTGGTGTATGATGAGTGGTGTATGATGAGTGGTGTTTGATGAGTGGTGTATGATGAGTGGTGGTTGAACAGCTGTTGAATGTCCGTAACACGGAAGTTTTGCACACTAAACTTCCTTTGAGCATCTATACAAGGTAGGAGGGGTTCACCTGTGGGTACCTCCACAGACCACATGAATTATGTATGACTGTATGACCTATTTCGCGGGGGTGAAGCCGAAGGCATCGAGCGAAAACTTGCTGAGAGGTTGCTTGGTCCGGATCTTTTAAACAAAAGACATCAACCATCTTATCCTGGCCGAAAGCGCGTGGACGAGATGCATTTCCCCGTCAAGATTTGTGAAACCCCTGATGCACCAAAGAGGAGGCTCCCATTTTAGCGTATCGAGGAAACAAGCAGGACATAGTGTGTTCCAAGAATCGGCCGACATTTTTGAAGTTTGTGGCTTGAAGTTTCTAGCTTTTATGTGGGGGGGATTTGAACTTCAGGCGAGTCGAAGACCAACAGAACAGGCTAAGTCTTCTCATTTTGGGGTATCCACACAGGCAAAAAGCTTTCCGTAGTGAAGCATATTCAGAATGACCAACTCGTACAATGTAATCCCACATTTTTTAGGATGTCTTGGAGCTGCTGGTGCGGGCCATTGTAATCCTCTGAACCAGTGCCAAGCCCAATGCCGTAAGATTCAAGCTAATGAGGCGCCGATTGTGGTCGTAGGACCTTCATTTGATTCGAGAAATCGAATGGGATGTTTATGAGTAGACCTAGTATGACCACGCTTCTCTGCAAAGCTGCTTAATTTGGTTGGGAGAATCTGGACGGATGATATCTGGGCTCCATTGGGACAAGCTCTGAACGCGCTGCATTGACCAACTGGTTTTTGATCTTGCATAATTGTTTGCCACATTTTATCAGCCAAGAGGCATGTTTGTGTGTCCCTACCAATGCTTTTGTTGCCAATCTTCGCATATTTGTGAAATGCGCTTCTCGGATGTATTGACTTTCGGCGCCATAGAAGGGTGGCCAAGCAAAAGTTTGGAGTTTAGACGCCCTGTCATCAAGAGTTAGATGTTGTCTCTCGAGTCTGTGCATGCGTTTAGTGGCTGCCATACGGCACTTTAGGCAACCAAGAACAATACGCCGAGTATACTGCCTGCCATTTTATTGGACAGTTTAAACGTATCGTCCATTAAAATGGCGGAAACTTGTTCCCAAAATAGTGGCATTTCCTTCTGTGTCCTCCATGCCCAAGCCTTAGCGAGATGTACCTTCATACGAAGACTGAAGATTCAAAGTTGATTTCCAGCAGCATTGTTGGGAACTTATGAAGGACCTGCACTTGTTGGTTTTGCATTTGGTGGGAGAATGCTGGCGATATAGCGACCATAGCACATACCGATCAGGCGTCACCCTCGGGAGCGCCTGTCGTTGAGGGAATGACTTGGCCTTAGCGCCCTCCAATCTGCAGAACTCTGTGAAGATTATTTTACGATCTAATCCAAAAAGAGATGTTGAGTGCTGGTGTAGTGCTCACAAAAGATGCCCCCTCTGGCCTGACCTGAACTACGTCGTGGTACACAACAGGGAAAGAACACGTGGTGTTGCGTATACTGTATATATATATATAGTCGGGGCGGGCTCTTACGACCAGCGCTCCGTACCATGAAAGCAAGCAGGGGTGCTTTTCCAAACTGAGCACAAGGGGGTCGCAACGTGCCCATCGTGTTCCGCAACGTTGAAAACCACGAGTCGTGTGACAAAGCCGGTGACATCGGCCGGTCCGGTCCAACGGTGGCTCTGAGTGCCGAAGTGCCGAAGTGCCCGCCTGGACGCGACACTTAAAGGCAGGAACAACAATGCAGACTCCTGCCTTGAACAGGGAACATGACTAAATCTTGTCTCTAGAAATGCCTCTGATTTTTTTCTCCAAACTTCATGTAGGAGCTGTGATTGCAATAGCTGCGGGCTCATTGCTCAACCATCCACCCGGGCGCCGTTCTGTGTTGCTTTCGGGCAACCGGCCCGCGAGTTCCGGCCGCAACCGCCGGTTCCGGGTTCCGAAGCCGGTTCCGCAGCACTGGCCCAAGTCAGGGACTAAGGAGATTGGATGACGAAGTATCATATCAGTGTCAAGGCGACCTTTCTGGAGTTTGTTCCACTGGACGCCACCTCAGAGTCGCCCCTCCGCCGGTGTCGATCGTGCTCACCGCATTGGTCGCCCCCCGAGATCGAAAAGGGAAAGCGAGGAGGTGGCGCCAGTGACAGTACCGCAGCAGAGACTGAGGATGTGGTCTTGAACTCCAGTGAAGACACAGAAGATTGCAAGGGCCAGCCCCAGGTGCTGTACAAAAAGCACCGCAGTAACTTATACAGGAAGATCAACAAGGAGATCTCATCGGCCTATTGTACCCAAAGCCTCCTGAACATCATCGACAGAAGCTTGGGCGACATGAATGCCGTCAACCTCTCCACTTCGATCCACCGGCTGGCCCGTGCCATCGGTTCCCACGAATGGGACCCAGAGGTTTCTCGAGTTCTTGACCGGTTGCTGGATGCCATCGAACATCAGGCGGTCTCGGAGCTCGAGAGGGGCGCGTCCAAGTTTTCTCCACGCTGCGCCACCATCATCGCGTGGTCTTGTGCAACACTCCAGGCAATGCGGGGATGCCAGGGCGAGGCATTGCAATGGGAGACACATGTATGGGTGATAGGCAATCCATTTGCAACTTTGTTGAATAGCCGGCCGTATAGGCTGCGTTTTGGCGGGGTGGGTCTTTGGAAAAAGATGCAGTTGCCACTGGAGCATGTGCGGTTTCTGCAACTTTTTGTGCTTTTTGCAGGTGTTTCGCTTGCGGCTATTCTCGGTGCTCATGACGATCAGCTTGCAAAGTTTGCAGTCCTGCCAAGCTTACGAGGTGACGAACCTTCTTTGGGCTGTGGCTCAACTGAGCAAGCAGCACCCTGGCGGATTCTTGTGGGGTCGATGTGGAGGATCTCAACGTGTAGCAGGCCCTTAGCGCGAGGTTTACAGTTGATAGCATCCCTGTTTTCGGGCTGGTCGCCTTTGCGTTCTCCTCCTCCTCCTCCTTCTTCTTCTTCTTTTTCTTTTTTATCATATCTTCTTCTCGGGCTCCCGGCGGAACATCTGAGGTCTCCTGAGCCTGTCTTGATGCGCGAGGTTCAGGAGCTCATTACGGCCTCCACGAGTTTCTTCCGCGATTGCGACTCCTTGGGCCAGGTGACTCCGACGTTCTCGCGGCTCTGGGCTCCAGGGATTGCTCTTTTCTAGCGGGCGAAACGAGCGGTACGTGGGGGTGGGTGTAGCGGTGACCGGAGGTTCGGCGTCACGTGATCCAACCTGAGAGGTTCAAGATACCTGGTTCAAAGGAGAGCCAAATATGGAGATCCACAGTGTACCCTTGGAAGGTGCTGGTAGATTGTGGAAGCCAGTGGCTGTTGAATGGCTGCAGTTGTTTTTTTTGGCGCCGTTTTGCATTCCGCCCCCCGCTCCCCACGCGCTTGTTACGGTATTTTCTTAAACATCTCCCTCACCCGGGCCCATTCACTCCACCGGCTGTCCCGGATGGAGAAGCACCCTCTTCCTGGGCCGAGCCACCCTCTTCCTGGGCCGAGCTGTGGCGGCCTCTGCCAGGTGAAAGCGCAAGTCTTAGTCTCAGCCTTGGTCTCGGTGGCCGACCTCACCGTCGACGGTCCCTCACAGGCCGACCGAATCCGTCGTGTGGATTCGGATCGGAAGACGAGGATTCGGGGCTTCTGGGGGACGTGGTTCTCACCGGATGTTTGGCTTGGGAGACCCCCGAACTTCCCAACTAAGCCTCTCCATCCTTCGAGGCTTGGCTATTCCAGAGCTTGTGCGAAATGCTGGTGCCCAAATGTCCGGAGCTGTCCTTCTCAAGCAAGACGCATATCGTCATGGCCTTCCAGGCGATGCATGGGCGGGACTCCCATTTTGTGGAGCCTTGGCAGCACCATTTTGTCACCCAAAAATGCCAGATGGACACGAAACAAGAGCCGCACCTTCCGATTTCTGTTTTCCGGGTCCTCCTTGAATAGTGTAGAAGGTTCTACGTGTTGCTCTGAGGTTCCTTATGTCCTCCAACAAAACAGACAGAAACGCCCGGCCGGACGGGCCGGACGGCTTCTCTGAGTGAAGCAGGTCATGTTGCCCCCCCCGACGAGGACGACCCCCGGGACGCCCGAACACATCGTCGTGACTTGGGGAGGACGGAGGAAAAAGGCGCCACGGATGTGACTTGGTGTGATACATTCCTTGGTCAGGTCTAGTGGTCTAGTGTACTTCTATCAAGTCCCCCGTTCTTCTGCGTTTAGAGGGCAGTTTGAGATGAAGATGAAGCAGGAGCAGACTACAAGACTGCTGTCTTACTGTATGTGTTTGAATGGTGATGGGTGCTTTCAATACGAAGCGGGGCCGCCATTCTCCCTTTTCACACCCGGACCCTGTGAGGATTTGTGATGTGAAGAGTCAAGAATGTGATTTGAATTAGATGGCATGAACGGCAAACGGCACCATGAGGGAAAGGCTTTGAGTTCCAAATGTGTGCTCTACTCGTGGCTGAACGTGGTGCCAATTGGTTTAGAACGTGCTGCCATTTGTTGGAAGGGAAAGGAAGCCCGGACCAGGAGTCACAAAGCGGTGCCTATGGAGGATAGGGGGTGCCCAGAACATCCACTTACTGAGGGACAAAAACCACCCCTTTGTGACTCCTGGGTGGGGCTGCATGCTGGCCCAGGAGCGTTTGATCGAGTCTGTGTCCGAGCTGTGCCCCGAGTTGATTGGAGTCTCTCCCTTGAGAACGTCCTGAGCGAGAAGCATTCGCCGCCGTGCCGCTGACTTCGCCAATGGTGAAAAATGATTCTGATGTTTGCCCGCCAATAGTCTAAGACAACTAGGCCTCCTTTTGCTGTGAACCCTTTGATTTGCAGCGCCTGACTGGCCCATATCAAATCATGTTTTCTGTGGTTCGATCTTCGTCCCTGCCAGTTTCCTGTTGATTGCTCCCAACACTCATTTTCCCTGTCATGTGTTAGAAAGGTCTCCGGGCGGGGGAAGAGCGAGCAGCCTGACATAGTCTAGCCTGACCCTGGAAGTCCAGCCTGACTACTTGTGACGCTGAAGAAGAGGCCATGAACCGTTCGGATCAGCTAGTCACCCATCAAAAAGGAAAGTGAGTCTTGGACTGCTTGGACTCCCAGCATTTAGGGCGAAATAGTATCCTTGCAGCTGGCGTGTGGGTCCGTGGCACTTGGAGGGTCACCGCACTGGAGGTCCTCTGGGTCGCGGATTCCGTTTCGCAGCCCAAAGGCTGGTTTTCTAGCCAATCTATGCAGCCGTTTCAAGCCCAGCCCGAGAAGGTCATCGATGAGGAGGGGGCAAGATGTTCTGGATATTTATTTCGACATTTCAGCTTGTTTTTTTGGACCTCTGAGCAGCATTCTTGGAAGAAATTGATCCAGACGATGGCTTCAACTCCACTCTTTGACTGAACCGAGGCTTACTTCATCTAACATTCGATGTCTCAATCCCCGAATTCGTTCCGCCTCTCTGCGTTCTGTGCCGCAGAACGAATCTGTGTGGGATACGTCTGATCCCCCAGGGCCTTTCCGCTAAGGCCATTTCAAGCCAGCTGCGCCGGCCGCCCGGCCCGGCCGAAGTCAGAAAACGTAGGCGCCGAAGTCGCCCGCGGTTCAAGCGAAAAAGAGAAGAGCAACATCGGCACATGTCGGGCGGCCGGAGAGCTGAAGCGCCCGATCCGGGACCAGCTGGCCAAGCGGCTCAAGCCCAAGGACGGCGAAGGCCCCGAGGAAATTCCCGGACTCGGATCACGGTTTGTCAGACCATTTCTCCAATTATCCCGGCAAGAGACCCCAAACAGTGTGTGTGAGGGGTGTAAGCAGAAAGTCTAGAGATCTAGACGCATTGGGGTCCAGAGAGGTGATGGTGGTGATGAAGGGAAGGTGGGTGCGAGTGAGTGTGGGTGAGAGTGAGTCTGAGTGTGAGTGAGAGTGGGAGAGTGAGTGTGAGTGAGAGTGAGTGTGGGTGAGAGTGAGTGTGAGTGTAAGTGAGCGTGAGTGAGAGTGAAGGTGGGTGTTAGTGAGTGTTGGTGAGGGTGAGAGTGAGAGTGTGTGTGAGTGAGAGTGGGAGAGTGAGTGTGAGTGAGTAGTGCGAGTGTGAGTGTGAGTGTGAGTGAAGGTGAGTGAGCGTGAGTGACAGTTGGTGAGTGTCGGTGAGAGTGAGAGTGTGTGTGCGAGTGAGAGTGAGAGAGTGAGTGAGTGCGAGTGTGAGTGTGAGAGTGAGAGTGGGGGTGAGAGTGAGTGTGAGGGAGAGTGAGTGTGACTGTGAGTATGAGTGAGACTGAAGGTGGGTGAGTGGGTGTGAGAGT